AAAAAAAAAAAAAGTGAAGCAAAAACCTTCAGGAACCAGCATCCAGTCTCTTGGCAAAAAGCTTTGAAACAGTGCCTTTGTAGCACAAAAATGTTCCTGTGATGAATGTGTTCCCTGACATGCCCAAAGATGTGCCCCAAATAGGGTGCCAGAAGGGGAGTTTAGATGCAAATGAGCGGGAAAGCAGGCACGTTGGGGCTGGTGCTCCGAGCTGCGATGAAAGCTATTTCTAACCCATTAAGATAGAGCCAGGTTAATAAAAAAGCATGGGGGTTATCACTTTCCCTCGCTTTCTCTTAGGGACCTTTGGTATGAGATCAATTCATCCAAACTCTTGAGCCTGTGGCCTGCTGTAATCTCTGTGTAGTATCATCCCTCTCTACTTCTGTTTTTTCTCCTTTTACTTTTCATTCTCATTCCCTTTTCTCTCTCTCTCTAGTCATAGACTCCCTCTCTGGTACTTTTATAGCTCTAATTTTGAAACGTGTTGTGAAGGTCTGTGTGCATTTAAAATTTATATAAATATTGCACCATAGCTATCATTTTATTTTTTTCCTTGTTTGGAATTGTGTTCAAGATCAATTACAGCTGTATAAAAAACTATCAAAAATGATTAGCCATTCGATCTGGTTTACCCTTCTGTACGTAAATTAGCTGTTCAATCTTGGCCATCTTGCCATTGGGCTAATCTTGTTGATTTTCAGTTTCTTGTATTGTAGGTAATTCACTGTGGGTTTAAATGTTGGTACTATTTCATCCTAGTCAACTAAGCTTTTCTAAAATTAGCAATTTTTAAAAAATTTTTATGACAAAATTCTATTACAACTTTTACTCCATTGATTTTATTATTTGCCCTCATCTCCACCCCCACTCCACCCAGTCTCCCTCTGTTGGCCAGGTTAGAATGTGGTGATGATGTCATAGCTCACTGCACCCTTAAACTACTGTGCTCACATGATCCTCCTGCTTCAGTCTCCCAAGTAGTTGGGATCATAGGCATAGGCCACCACACACAGCTATTTTTTTCTGTTTTTCTTTTTCTTTTCTCAGTTATTGGCTGGGGCCAGGTTTGAACCTGTCGTCTTTGGTATATGGGGCCGGCGCCCTACTCCTTGAGCCACAGGCGTGCCCCTTTTTCTGTTTTTAGTAGAGACAGATCTTGCTCTTGCTCAGACTGGTCTCAGACTCCTGACCTAAAAGCGATCCTCATGCCTCAGTCTGTCAGAATTCTAGGGTAATAGGTGTGAGCCACAGTGCCTTGCCCTATCTCTATATTATTTATCCTTAACGATTTGAGGGTACTTTCATATGTATTTTCTAAGATCTGCATATTCTTTTACACAACCACCCTAGTTATCAACTTCAGTAAATTTAACATGGATACCATAATTTTATCTAACTGTCAGTTTCTTCACTGCAGAGGAACTGTCTCTTGCAACAAGCCATCTGTAGGGAGGCACTTAAGGTTATGTAGACACCTTCTCTTCTCATAAAACTTCTCTCTAGATTGACATCCATTGATGATTCTTGCTTGATCCAATCTTTTTTATGATGGTCACAAAATAATCAACTTTTCATCTTAATAGTTTGTGATTTAAGAGGTCTTGTTTAATATACTGTATACTTCCCTAAGCACAAGCTACTCCACTCCACATTTTCCTGCTCATAGATCTACCCTTACTCTTAAGCAACTTTCTTCCATATTCGTTGTGAGTTAGAGATCCAAATTCACTTTTCTCTGCAAAAATCTTCTCCGAAAAAATTCTCGATAGTATTTATTCTTTCACCAATGATTTTTTTTTTTTTTGATCTGTTGCCCAGGTTAGAGTGCAGTGGAGTATGATCATAGCTCACTGCAGCCTCCAACTTCCAGGCTCAAGCCATCCTCCTACCTTAGCCTCCTGAGTAGCTGGGACTACAGGGGCTGCCACCACACCTGGCTAGTTTACAAAGAAGTTTTGATAGAAATGGGAGTTTAGCTACATAGCTCAGGCTGATCCTCAACTTGCGGCTTCGAATGATCCCCTCCTACCTAGGCCTCCCAAAGTATTGGGATTATAGATGTGAGCCACTGCACTTGGCCACACAGTGACTTTTGAAGCCACTTTATGGTTGCCACATGGAGGTGAGCTTGATTATGAACTCTGTTCTGAACATTTCGTCAGTCACTACATCTATTATTTATTACTGTGACTCATGGTACAATTTAATATCTGATGAGTTCCCTCTTCGTAGTTTTTAGAACTGCTTTGGACGTTCAAAATTCCCATACAGAGCTATTTCTAGAAATGGGGAGAACTGACGTTATGTCATACCATCCTTTACTATTTTAATTTTCCCTTTTTTTTTAAAAAAAAAGATTCAATAGTCTGAGACTTTCCCAGGAAAATCTAGTTACAGTTGAATATAGTACCTTAAAACATTATATGAATTCCATTTAGTTGTTAGTCCAGCATATCTCTCAAATTTTCTGGTGTCAAAGCCCCTTTATAGCAAAGGTTGGCCAACTCTTGTTCATGAGTTAGATAAGTGTCCACTGCCTATTTCTGTTTAGTAATAGTTTTATTGGACTATAGCCACACTTGTGTGTTGGCTCCAGCTGCTTTTGTACTACAATGGTAGAACTGAGTAGCTGTAACAAGATGTAAGTTCCAAAATTCTAATTTTTACCTGAAAGTTGCAGATGTAGCACTGACAACACAAATAGTGTCAATTTTCCTTTAAATGGCAAGCTCACTTGTGAGTTGTACCTATCAATACCAACTGTACTAGAAATTTAAAAATATTTTTATTAATTCAAGAAACCCAATGCATGAACATAACATACTTTTAATGAAAAGTTAACACCATCCCCCAAATTTGAGAAAGTGGCACTGTTTCACAATTTCACAAACCTCTTTATTGTCCGGCTTAATAGAAGACAGTCGCATTTCTGCTTTTGTATGCAATGCATTGTACTATGTGGTTTTGGT